TAAATAATAATAACAGTAATATTAATAATAATAATTTGATTGTTGGTTGAAGCAAGTAAAGTAGTTTACATAATTATAGGCAATTCATGTTTGTGTGTGGTCTGTGATATTGCCCGGGTGCGCAGATCGAAGCAGGTGGTTTTCCTAGGGGGCCACACCCCGAGCCTTTGACTTAAAGGTCTGATCCACAAGGCAGTGGAGCATCGTGAGGACTTGATAGTGGAATTTAGACAAATGAAGTTAGCTATTCGAAGGACATGATCTTCATTAGCATTCTAATTGTACCTGGCTTTCGTTGCTCCGTAGCCGATAGCACCTGTCGTAAAATGCTTCGTCCGGTTGATCTTTCATTCGAGCATATATCAGTATTAGGGCTATGTTGATTCCGGGTAAGAATCCATAAGTGGCGAATTTGAATGATCTTCTGGTTAAACACCTTAAAGTTTTGGGTTCTAAAACTGAAACTGAATTCTAAACTAGCCGAAACAAACCCGACAGCAAGGCAATTACCGGGGCACATACGATAGCTCCGAAAAGACATGAAGTTTGAACTGTTCTGAGAGCGATATGCGTATATACATGGTATATACATGCATCTGTACATGTGGACAGTTGAATACCAATTAAAGTGGGTGTAGGTCCAACCAAATGTCACTAAGCCCCAGCCAAATCATCCGGCAGTTGTGTCATTGGATATCGAGCGAATCATCGATCCTCGTCAAGGTCAGGGACAACCAATGCGCATCAGTTAATCGTATGCCATGAACTGACCCATGCGGCAGTGGTCTCACTTTCGCTTGTATCTACTTTAACTAATATATTTCTGTAACTACGTCCTCTGTGTTGTACAGTCTTCAAAGCATCTATGGCACCTTGATATGTCAATAGGTTAGTCCACGTAAGGTGCTGACCACGAGGTGTGACTTCGATGTTAGCTAGTTTGTCACACCATTCACGTCTAACTCGAGTAGGCCTCCGATCATTTTCGACACAGATCATCTACGTTGGTAATCTACATGGGGATGGCTTGAAGACTACATAATGAGGTTCGAAATCTGGTATATGACAATAAAAAATATTGGAGATGGTGAATTTGCAGCCTACTTTCTGGCATAAATTGTCAAAGAAGCTTATAATTTGCTGATGGTTCAGGATATTCCAGAAAAACCATATGAATCTGTCTAGGAGATATTACTTAGTCACAGGCAATTTGTAGAGGTAAAGAAATACTCAAAATTAGTAGTTTTGTTAGTATTCGACTGTAGTGGTAAACAAATCCCCAAACTAAATAGCTCTGTAAGTCTTCGACATTGGATGCTGACCATATTAGTTTCAATTGACTCACCTAGCTGAAGGCGCTCGGTCATGCATCCGCACCAGATCACGAGTGGGAACGCCGTGTTCAACAACCCCTGTGATCGTTAGCCAGATTAGATCAGGCGATCCTCGATATATTGATAGCCCATCAAATATATCTTCGAATCTTCTCGCTTCTGTCCTTTGATTTCACTTGGTGGGTACGATTCATATTAGGTGTTACTGGTTAAAGCGTTGTCAAACTCCGAATACCTGTGGCATCTTTAACAGGTGCCTGAATTCCCAACTCTGCCATTATGATCTAGGATCTCAGTGTGTAACGTGACTGTGTTTGCTACTCCAGTGAGTGTTGAATAATGTTTATAAATCAAGAACAAAGAACGACTTATTGTTTCCAAAGTAACGGCAGTATGCCAAACAGTGGCTGAGAAATCGAAGATGGGCCATCGTGGCAGGCCAATTTTTTTATGAGGTCAAGGAGATTGAAAGGTCAGAACCCAGAACTCGTTTTGATCGTAAAAATGAGTTGAAAAAATGATGACTAATTCAACTAATACCTCGGAATATTTCTGGAGACGCTTCATCTAGGGCTTATAGACTGGGACTTAATATCACAGAATGAACATAAACTCAAAGTTAAGACATTTTTGTCCTTAAATACGTCTGTTATACGTCACAGATGTGGCAACGAGAGTTCGCTACCTCGTCGATACTGGCGTAGAAGTTAGCGTTCTTCCTGCAAATTCTAACGACCGGCCTAACGAATCGGTTTTAAATTTACAGGCGGCAGACGGAAAGCCTATCGACACATACGGTAAAAGATACGTTTACCCTAACGTGGGTTGGCGCAAAATCGTACACTGGGTTTTTGTTGTTGCAGATGTTTCTATGCCAATCAATGGTATGTACCTACTACTGCACCAAAATCTAATCATCGATACGCTCATACGGAGGTTAGTAGACGGAAACACTAATTTATCTGTTTGCGTAACTTCCTTTTCTGGTTGCAGATTATCCCCAGTCACAATTAAGCACATGATAGACTTATTCTATCAATTATTACTTGATAAATATTCTAGGATATACCAGCCGCAACCAAAATTACCGTGTGTAACCGCCAATGTTGCAAATCACATCACGACTACAGGACCTCCCGTACTCTCGAAAGCACGACGACTAGCTCCCGAAAAGCTAAGGTTGGCCAAAATCGAATTTGACCACGTGATAGAGTTAGGAATCATTCGACCGTCAAACAGCCCATGAGCATCTCCATTGCACACGGTCCCTAAAAAGGACAGCAACGATTGGCGTTCAACTGGTGACTATCGGCGATTGAATGCGAAAACCATTCCCGATCGTTACTCGTTGCCTTACATTCACGATTTGACAGCCACTTTGAAAGGTACAGCTGTCTTTTCGAAAATCGACTTGGTTAAAGGGTGTAACCAAATCCCCATGGCCACTGACGACATTCCGAAAACAGCTATCATTACTCCCTTTGGACTCTATGAGTTTTTGCGCATGCCTTTCGGTCTAACAAACGCCGCCCAAACATTCGCAAGGTTCATAGACGACGTTTTCCGAAGTCTCAATTTCGTACACTCGTATGTTGACGATGCCTAATCGCAAGTCCGGACGGAGAATCACATTTCAAGCATCTGGATCTTGTTTTCGACCGACTGCAAGAACATGGCGTTACTGTAAACGTTCAGAAATTCCAAATCGGAACTGACTCATTAGACTTCTTAGGGCACACTATACATGTGCAAGGCATTCGACCTCTTAGAACCAAAGCGGCGGCAATTCTGGATCACCCATACCCGACCACCATCACGTTTAACGGCCTCGTAAGTTTCTGTAGACGATTCATACCGAACTGCGCGTCACTTATGAAACCGCTAACCGAAATCCATTAATTTGGACGATACCGCACGAAAGGTATTCCCCACGGTTAAGTGACCTATCGCAAAGGCAACCATGCTCGCACATCAGGACACCCAAGCGCCCATTAGTATCGCAGTAGACGCATCCGGCTCAGCAATCGGAGGAGTCTTACAACGATAAGTTCACCACTCCTGGCAACCTTTGCCAACTTCCTTGAATAGTTTTCAAGGGATCGACCTTCTCCTACTCACCCAGCTTCAAAAAGAATACATTGATCTTCAGCAAGAGTTATCCTCAACAACCATAAACCGCGTATGATAAAGATGGGAACAGGTATGGAAACCCTATTATGTGACACATCTACAAGTAGGGATCGTTCAATCGTACCGAAACATCATCGACGGAACGTCTTCAATACGTTGCATAAACCTTCTCATCCAAGTGTTCATGCAACCATCAAGCTCATAGCAGAACGATTTCGCTGGCCTGATATAAATGAAGACGTGAGGAATTGGGAACGCTCCTGTGTAAGCTGCCAGAAATCTAAGGTGAGTAGCCACAGCAAATGTCTCTTAGGTCCATTTAAAACTCTTGATGCTCGAATGGACCATATTCGTCTGGATTTGGTAGAACTTTTACCATATTCTAATGGATACTTTTATTCTTTGACCTGCGTAGACCGTCTCACTCGATGGCGAGAAGCAGTACCCATCAAGTACATTACTGGTGAAACAGTGGCTCGTATCTTCGTCGAACGACATGTAGCAAGTTTGGCTGACCATAAACTATCACTACAGATCGCGGACGCCAGTTTGAATCCGGACTTTTCCGTTGTCTGACCATACTATTAAGAATCACTCGCTTCCGATAGACCACGTACCATTCACAGGCAAATGGGTTGGTAGAACGCATCCACCAACAGCTTGGGAAATCATCTACATACTGTATAAAACGTAAAGGATTTACGACAGAACCTTGAGGTAGCCCATTAAGTACTCTTCTCCAGGTGGAGTACTTCGAATTTATTCTTACTCTCTCTCTCTACGACCTACTCGGAAATCCTTAAGTCATTTTAAAAGAGGTCAGGCAATACCAAGATTTTTTTAACTTCAGTAGCAATCTATTTGTTTGCACCTTGTCAAATGCCTTACTGAAGCCTAGCGCTTTCATTCAGTATTTTCCTGCCATGTGGAAGTTCGTTGTACAAGTTAAACCCTTCCTAAAACTATGTTGTTCGCTGTTTAACAGCTTATATTTTTCCACAGTTGTCGTTATGGTCTGTCTGACTATTTCTTCTAATGTTTTAAATACAACACTGATGAGGCTTACAGGTCTGTAGTTCGATGAAAGTTGTCTTGGTCTTTCTTTATGTACGGGAGTAACAATTGCGTCCTTCCAGTCCATAGGTAACACGCCTTGGTCAAGTGACATATTGAATATCACAGTCAGTGGGGCCAAGGTATATTGTTCAATACGTCTCGAGATATTTGGGTGTAGTTAATGTGTTCCTGTTGACGTTCACATGTCTAAAGTGCTAAGAGCCTTAAGTAAATCGTCTTGATCAAAGTCTACGATGAGCACGTGGTTTGCTGACTCATTATTTGGGTTAGGTTCTTTGTCTAGAAGAGGTTCCTAAATGATATCTGCCCCAAAATAGTCAGCCATAGCCTCTGCCTTTTCCTGGTCCCCCTCCACCATTTCATATTCACTCTCTTCTTTAATTAGTTTGGGAATCCAATGATGCATCCTTGTTCTGTTGTTTATGTACGAGAATATTCTCTTAGGCTGTTTGAGTGCAGGTTGTGCCGACTGTGAATGAAGTCGGTTGTTCCTAACATGCCGTTTTGATCATTAGACCTGGACAACTGGAACTATTTTGTACGACGTATGTTAATTGCAACTTTTGTTTATGTTTTCAGACAAAATTATGCCACCTCAAAACTGAAAAATTTGACAGACTTCGGTTTTGAATTTTCTTAGAATTAGTCGCTGAGTTATGTTTGTTTTCATAGTATATGTTTCAGTGGCTTTGCAAATACTCTCCAGGGGTTTCACGTTTTGTTTGTTTTATTCCTATAATTAACCTTGAGGACCACTGCGTTGCCTATCTGTTTGTTTGTTAGTTGGCGATGGAGTTGGCTATCCCGGTTGAACAGATTGGATCCGAACACCAAAAGATTCCGGTAGTGAAAAACAATTAATATGATTTTCGTTCCAGGCACTGTTGGTTGGCATTGAAAAAACGGTGTGTACGATACGGTACACTGCAAAGTAAGTAGCTCATTGTAAATGTATTGAAAAAAGTGGTTTTATACCGTCGTTATCAAAAGCAATAAATATTTAAACAATGCATGCGGGCACTTTTCCAAAGAATAATTTTCTGAACAAGTGATTAGTTTGCTACTTATTTGTAGAGGTGTTAACTGCTAAACTGCCATACTTGATTGTGGTTGATTGATAGCTCCATCTGTAGAAATATTACTTAATATGTTGGTTCGGTCAAGCTAGTTGATAAAACCTTTTCAGTACAAAATGGTGGCCGTTTATCGCCATAAACGTATAAGCGTATACACTACTCTTCTAACCACTAATCGTTACAGTCCTGTTGTAAGCACTTCACATTACACTGTACAAACCCAGGATTTTCATCACGATAGGAATTTTCTTTTTCCGTTTCGAATAAGGTTATTTTTGATCACTGATCTTTATGATTTCCTGTTAAATTGCATAAACTATATCCACTACTTAAGATTATTAAAATAAGCTCGTACTGACTTGGCTTCAGTCATCACTCGATGTCTCGGTGAATCGGCATCATGTGCTGGTGTCTACTTTCTTTTCTCTTATAACAATGCTAATTAGGATTACAACCAAGGTATGTGTCAGCTAGATCTGTGTAACACATGCCTTAACTACACCTTGATGTATGGTTGATGGTCTTGGCAGTCGATCTGCCAATTTTATAAAATACTGAATACTTATCTCATCATTGCACCTTATACGATTGCCACGTTCGAGAACCTTGCTTTTTGATGCAGGTTGAAGGTCTATCTGCAAAACTCATCTTTTAATCGAATATGGGGTCTGTTTTTTCGAACAATATTCTCAGATTTTTGTCTCTATCGTTAACTGGTCTCGATTGAGTTAGCAAGAGCGTACATAAGAACTAAGTAATTGTTGCAAAGGTTTTATGTGATCTAAATGGGCATAGTTTCCGTTATGGAGATACTAGTCGATACCTGAACACAGCGATATAATTTGACCGATTAAAGGGTACTCAAGAAACCGTATTATTGACTTAGGCCTCCAAATAATTAAATATTAAAGCCGAGATCATTAGCCAGATAAATAATTTTTGTGTGTGATAACATAACATGCTTGTATACAGAATGTAAACACAAAATAAGCACGATAAAGTGTCATAGACAATCCAAGAAAGCTGGCTTTTAGATCACGCATTCTTCAATCAATCACGATATAACTGTTGGGTCGAATCTTTTGGCATTGTATCAGGACTCCGTTCACTCAAGTAGGTGTCTAAAATTTTACCCCAAATAATAATCTAATGATTAGTTGAGGGTCACAGAAAGCAGACCCGGAAAAGTCAGATCGGTTTCCAACTTAAGTGTGGATTTGTAGACTAAATATTATGCCTTTGTCATGTTCTGTAACACAGACACATCTGCTAACTCTCAAACGTGATTATTTCTCTTAATTAAATTATTTATTTATTTGAACACATAAATATTGGTACAAGAGAGCGCCAGTATATATGCGCCACACAAAACGATGAGAATTCGAAGAGAAAACAAGGTAACGAGCGCAAAAAATGAGAACAATAACGAAGAGGTTGGTGTAAGGTAGTGTAGTAATAATAATAATAATAATGGGGGAAACGAAAAGGTACAATCAGAAGAAATCTTTCAGTTAAGGAAGAAGCAACCACATTTTATGAAGAAAGTAAAAGAAGGTTACAGCAGGATGGCCACTGGCTTCTATTCTGAGCTATATCTGATAACGTCTCTAGCCACTGTGTAGCACCATCTCTCGGATCCCAACCAGGGAGTCGTGAAGGACCAACAGAAGCCAGTCCTTTACAGCTTTCCTTCATACCGCGACACCATGTCGTGCACTGACCACCTCTCCGCTTCTTCCAACCAGTCCCAGCGTCGGCAAATAATGCACGACGTGGAATTCTCTGGGACGACATTCGTAGAACATGTTCAAGCCACCGAAGTCGGTGTTTCAAGATGGTGACGTCGATTGCATTATCATCTCTGTGTCCGAACACACGATGCCGAACCTCTGCATTACTAACATGGTGTTGCCACTGGATGTCAGCAATCCTTCGGAGACAGCGATGATCGAACACAGAGAGTCGTCTAACATCCTCAACTCGGAGAGGTCAGGTTTCACAAGCATAGAGCAAAACTGCCCTCACCGACGCGTTGTAGATCCGACCTTTTACAGGCAGACTAACATCACGAAGGCGCCAAAGGTGGCCCAGATTGGCATAAGCCGCTCTGGCTTTCACTATTCGTGCGTTGACCTCATCACTCACGCCACTACCAGCACTTATACAGCTACCTAGGTACACGAACTTCTCGACTACTTCTATCTGCTCACCATCCAGGATGAGTACAGGATTAGAATCCTGCCAGTCTTGTAGAAGTGCTTTGCACTTCGAAGGTGCAAAGCACATACCATACCTACGGACACTGATTGCCAACTGATTAAGTGCAGATTGCATGGCTTGGGCATTATCGCACAGTAAGACAATATCGTCCGCATGCTCAAGGTCGAGAAGTCTTTCTCCAGGCAACAGATCCACACCACCATTACTTACATTCATCAGAGCTGTTTCCAGAATGTCATCGATGGCAAAGTTGAAGAGGAATGGTGAGATTGGGCAACCCTGCCTAACCCCACTGCTCGGATGGAACAATGGAGAGAGGTGGTTGTATGCCCTCACTCTGCCTGAGGTGTTTGTATATAGAGCTTCTAGGATGTTAATAAACTTCTCAGGCACACCCTTCTTCAATAGACAATCCCAGAGAACAGTCCTATCCAACGAATCGAAGGCAGCCCTGATGTCCAGAAACACTACGATTGTTGGCCTTTGATAAGCATGACGGTGTTCTAACATTTGGCGGAGAGTGAAGATATGATCAATACATCCTCGACCAGAACGAAAACCATCCTGCCCCTCGCGAGTCAATCTTTCTCGGGTTTTGAACAACCTACGAAGTATGACGGAAGCCAATGACTTGGACGCCATCGGAAGTAGACTTACCCCCCGATAGTTGTTACAGGAACGACGTGAACCCTTTTTAAAGATAGGGACAACTATCGACTCATTCCATGACGTTGGTACACTCTCTAGTTCCCAAACCTTTGTAAACAACGTTGTCAGTTCCTTAGCTGGGAAGTCACCATCTTTAAAAAGAGCCGGAGGTAAGTCATCTGGGCCAGGTGATTTGTAACGCTTCAAGAGTTGGAGTTCCTTGCGGACTTCCTCCTCGTTTAGTGGATCAGTCGTCACCGGCCATGGAGGGCAGGACAGTCTGACCGATGTTGCCGGAGCAGCAGGCCAGTCGAACTGCCCTTCGAAAAATTCTGTCCATCGTCTAAGACGTCGATGGATGTTAGTGATTGACATCCCATCATCCTCGCAGATTGTTTCACTCACACCAGACTTCTCGCTGCCAGTGGCTCAGATCGCGATGTGATCAATCTGAGTCCAGGCTTAAGATTCAGATGGAGGACGTCACGGGGCACATCGGCGATGACTGTGCCGGAAGTTAGTGCTAGCCAGAAACAGGTTGTGGTCTGTGCACAGTTACAGTAGACGGTCCGCGTTATCTGACCTGCGACCAACGAGTCCCCATCGGCCACCTAAACGACTATCTTCTGTGCCTAGACGCCCGACCTGAGCATTCAAGTCTCCGGCTAGTACTACAATATCTGTCGAACGCACTTTCTGGAGAAGAACAGATAACTGGTGGTAAAACTCATCCTTGATTGCGTCCGGGCTGCAATCTGTCGGGGCATAGGCGGAGATGACGAAAAGACACATCGTTTCTCACGCCGATTTCTTCTCACTTTGATGGAACTTTCTAATCCATCAGCACATAACCGACTGTTAATGGGGATCCAATCGATTAGTGCTGCCTCAGCTCTAGCGCTTAGTGCGACACTAACGCCAGCAAGACCAGACTAAGATGCCACAGGGTCTCCGGATAAACGCATGTAAAACAAGCTTTTTGAAGCGACAAATGGAAAGCGAATTTGTAGTACTTCACCAGTCTTGAATACGGGTCTCGGATAGACAGCAGACATCGAAATTAAGACTTTCCAAAGACATAGCCAGTCCTATCTGTTGTCCGACCTGCTTAAGTGTGCGAACGTTAAAGGCAGCCAGTTTGAATGGTGCACGTGGTTTCAGAAAAACTGCTTCAGTATTCATATTCAGTGGTAACATACAATTTTCAACCGGACAGTGATTAGAGAACGTCTATATATAGTCGAATTTCCACCAAAGACGAGCCGCTGTATAAGTATAAAAGAGTGTTGAATAATGTGGTAAATAATAATAACAGTAATATTAATAATAATAATTTGATTGTTGGTTGAAGCAAGTAAAGTAGTTTACATAATTATAGGCAATTCATGTTTGTGTGTGGTCTGTGATATTGCCCGGGTGCGCAGATCGAAGCAGGTGGTTTTCCTAGGGGGCCACACCCCGAGCCTTTGACCTAAAGGTCTAACACACAAGGCAAAAGAGCATCTTAAGGAGATGCAGTCCCATGGTCGCCGGTGACCAATGATTCGCTCATACGCCATTTGTTCCCACAGGATATTGGAGCCCATGTGCACCATTGGTTTGGGATCCGGTTAAAGCGCCGGACATTCGCTTTTCGTCCTCTCATTTTCGTAAACAACACCCCCGCCATGAGAAAGCAGTGAATAGGACTTCCCTGGCAGAGGCTCTATACGCGTGGCCGTGTGAGAGTATTTCGAGAGGGAGAGCGGACTATCTCCACTCTCGGCCGTACCAGGGCATTTGGGGGCATTTCTCTTAATCCAAAGGGAGCATTCGATTTTATTTATTGGTAACTCCCCTTTCGTGGAATAACGGATTTACTTTGTGGTTATACACAGGGTACTTTACAATCATAATATCTGTCTAACCACCGCGTACATAGAGGGTTGATACTTAATGGTGCAGAAATGCGTTAGAAAACAGCTAGGGGTGGCCAATTAGAAACGTGACGTCAGCTGAAATAGTCTTATCGTTAAACTGAGTTGTGTAGGTAAGTCCAGACGACCTGGTATTTCGCACAGCTGTCGTAACCAGTGGTTAAATACTTTTGGTGAAATTGCTCAAAATCGTTTTCAATAGCGCAGCTTCATTCTCTATCTTCTCTTATATCCTAAGTTTCTGTGTTGTATGGTTTTTCCCCACGAATCCATATTTTCTCAAAACGTCTTTACTACTTATACTACTATGACATGTCTGTAGTAATATGTTATGTCAACATGAACTGATGTACGTACAAGTCTCTACGTTGCTTACGACCGAGTTCATCAAATTTACTGTTAACTATAAATATTTTTTAATGTGGTTTGTTAAAACCTGTATCTCTATCACGATTTTCCTTTACCAATTATAGTCACTGTACAATTAAAGTCGGTCTTTCCGAGCTTCAGTTGGCCCCAAATGCATTTTCGATCAACGACAAGCTGGATGTCCAATCTGGTTCGTCTGAAAATGAGGAAACGTCTCATAATTCAAATCATAACTTCTCACTCAGAGATCCTGTTGAAGTCTGGCTAGATTCTGGTTCAACTGCAAAGAAAAAAAGTACAGCAGATGTAGAATCGAGCGACTCTGTAGAAACCATGTCTAGTGGTCCACCTGGGGCGTGGTGGCCTGGTCGAGTTCTTACCATACAAGGTGGCTTCGCACATGTCGAGGTATATTCATTCTCATCCTTGTGATTATTATCATTATTGCAAAGCTATCATTTGGCATACATTTATTTTAACACTGCTATTACTAGCAATTCTTATTGGGTTATTAGCTAGACAACCTAGCAGAAAGTGGAATATTAATTCGAATCTTGTTTCCTTAACGCTTATAACGTTGGATTTTGTAATCGCATTTAACTATCATCACCACTTGATCAATCATATTCAAGTGTAATGTCGCACTTATGATGTTTTTCAAGTGCGGACTGTGTTTGTAAGCTGCCATACGACTTATGTTTTATTTAGGCTAATGATCATGCTTGCTCCATATACTTGTCAGGCTGAAATCGCAGCGTATGATCTTTAATATCGACTGCATAATATAGCTTTAGCGGCTACGTTGTCTGCATTAATGGTAAGGGTTTTTACTTATCTTGGATGGTATTTAGTAGGTGCGTATGTTTAAACAGTAGTTTTGTATTTCTTAGTATAATATGTTTGTGTCTGTATTGTACAGTTACATGCTATTACCTAGTATTTTGTAAAGAAAATATAGTTGGTTACCTTAAAAACAATCGACTTTCCCTTCCAGGTTGCTGCCCCATTACAGGAGTACACAGGTGTAGAAGACAAACCAACTGCACATGCCATGCCTCATTTAATTGGACTTGGTTCTGTAGTCTTGCCATATCGCTCAACTCTTGTCAAGGTAACGGAAATTCGAGTTCCATGGAATGGCAAGTTTTCGTGTGATCATACGGAGGATCGATCTCAAGCGGGTACTTTGACGTCAGGCTTCATTAAGGACAACTTAGTCGAATCGAATAATTTGTTAATCCCAGGAATCCTTCATCGTCACAGTATTTGCATTCCAGCTTACTTGTATCGATTGTAAGTTCAGTGTATTATTATGAGCTACCTAGCACTTTAGATGAAATTTTTAGTCCTCACCTGCAGTGCTCATTGTATGTAGAATATAACAGTTCTCTATTTCGTTGTTTACTTTAATTCTGTTCATTCTATTGGAACTTTTAAATGGAGATAATAAACTTACTTGTGACTTGTATGCGAATCGTTTTCGTTTGTGCAACAATGTACAGATACGATGGAGTAGTGATTAATTATGCTATAACGCAAGTGCTATCGACCAAAGTAGAATTACAATTGATAAAGTTAAGCAAATAAGTTAGTACAGTCTTCGGTAATCCGATACTGAATTCAACAACGTCAATAACATTGATGTTGAGTAGAACTGCTATTTTCACCCCGATATATGACTCCTGTGCAGTGCTATATTTGTATGCAGTTAACAATATATTCAAGTATTCGTGTAATTTCTTGGTTTCACTTCGTCAGAAATGTATTAAAGTAAGTTGTTTTACCGACATTTTACGTACCTGATACTTGAATGGATGTAATTCTAGTCTACAGGCTGTTTATAATCTGTAACCCTAGAATAAATCCGACATTTACAGACAATCAGTAACCCGAGACCTTCAATCCACAATTTTATGTATTGAAATTTTCGTCTGGTCACAAAGGTCGGAAAATGATATTGTGTTGCATATTGATGATGGTAGTTAGTTGAAACCGTACCGTATAAAGTTGACCACTCATGATTGGTTTTCACATTGCAAGGGTATGTTTATATATCAAAATTACACGAAAATCTAGGATTTAGGTAAGTTCTGGTAAATTAAAAATAGTTAATTGATGGTTTTGTATTATTTGTGTCATCCGTTGTTATAGTTACTAAAAAAGTTCGAAATAGTTAATTACAAATCATCTATTACTATTTGCTGTAAACAAATTAATGTTTTCTGGAATCCAGTAAAAAATGACGGAGCCACGTTTTATTCATTGTTCGTTGAAATTCAAGGCAACCGAAGAGACCTACGTACTTTATCGCTAACGAAAAAGTGATGAAATATTGTCAGTTAATTTTCAAGTCTCAATCCTTAAGGTTTTCGGGGGTTAGCTCTCTATTACTAAACGGAAAACCTACTGTAAACCACACAGCTCAAACTAATAGTGCCTATGGCCTGATGCTTGTCTCGGCTACGGCTACATCGTATGTCCCATCTCAAGGACTACCAACGTAATACACCAAAGCACGCGGTAATCGGAATTGCATACCACATAAGTAAACTATTTAACTTCACGTAATATATGGATATTGCTTACTTTGTGGCACTATCATACACCAGCAGTGCTTCAAAGACATGTATAATCAAATAGCAGCAGCATACATATAACTTCTACTTCCAGAGATCATACTTTACAGCGGGGGGCTACAAATATACAAGAGGACCTGTGAAAAAAGTAAACCCTAAAACATCTTTGTTCACCATTTGCTGAATTTTTGTTTGATTTCTCCGTTTTTGTAAATAATTGATACTTAAGCATGTAATTTCTAGTGGTAATTTTTAGTTTGACCACGTGACTTATATATTAAACTCTGTGTTTCCTCAGAATTAATGTCAGTAATTTTTGATTGTCAACCTAATTTTATTTTTTGTGTAGAGCAGCCAATCCAGAATCGCATTCAACTTTAGCTAAATTTTGTAGTGCTCCATGTCTTATCCAGTGTGATTCTGAACCATTTCTCCCAGGGACGATTGCGAAACTGATACTAGGAGATAAAGAGGGATCAAATGGGTCTGGACGACATACACCAGTTCATGCAGACTATGGATCGATGAGCCCTTCCTTGTGTCTATCGACATATACATGGCCTTCACCATCTCTGATATCACAAGCAGCTATGATGAACGTTCCGTATATCGCCGGAACACTGAGTCCAGCAGGGATTACAGACCCAAACATCCTTTTGACAGGTCTACCTGGAGCTAATGGACCTCTTGTACTGCTCCATATCTGGTCCGGTTCTTCTGAAGCAATTCGACGCGCAACTTTCTTAGAATTGGGCCACATTCGTTTGTTGGCTGTTCGATTCCACTTGGTACGTTTTTTTGTTAATTGCTCCACCAAGATATAAAAAATATCTTTAGTGTTAAATTGTTTCGCAGCTTAAGACGATGTCACGGCTGTTTTAATTTGTCTGGATTATGAAATGTTGTATATAATGATCGAGTATGATTGCTGCTTTTGTAGCTAAGAAACTTATCCAAAGGGGAGACTGGTGATCTGGAATTGTCCAACAGCGGTGAGCTAGATGTCGAAGATGGCGATGCTCCTGCAATTCATTGTAAACCTATAAGTATGCCAGCAACTGTGTCCAGTGACAAACAAGCGTCTGGTGGGATGATTATTGGTTATGAATGTCGTTTTCGAATTTTGCCACATTTGATTGGTCTCGCTATTGGGCATCGTGGTGCAACTATTCAAGAAGCTCGAGGAATACCTGGAGTTCGTGCGGTGGATCTTCTTTTTGATGGCATAGTCCATGTAGAAGCTGAGGTAATTTTTAGTAATTAATATAAGTTTATCTCAGTTTTCGGCCATTCGAAATGCAGCGTTAAAGTAATCTGAAATGCTTTATTTTTTGAACTAAGGATTTTAGACACGTAGTTTAGTGCTGATCTCAAAAGTTTTGATCCACATATCAGTCGGTAGACTCATCCTCCTTGTCTTTTTTTCTCTTTCCAAATATATTTCACTGGATTATACTCTTTAAATAACATCTTCAAACCCTAATCTTTCTGATTACTGCTTATACTCTTACCGTCTCTACCACTACGGGACTTGAATCGATAACTACATCTCTGTGCTAATGTGGTATGGCAACCCGGACTGATACTGATTAGGAATAAGGAGTTTCAGCTCAACCAGTAGATAGGGAAATTAAACCTGCTATATTTTCTTCTGGAGTGTGCTGAGAAGATTAGTAACTGCTTTATCGTCGTTAGTCTGGACAATAATGTTGACACTATTAAATCCAGCCTCTCTCTCTCTCTCTCTATATATATATATATAGAGAGAGAGAGAGAGAAGGTAAAAAGCGTAGTTAGTGAAAATTTCGACAAATATTACTCGATCAACAATGTGGTAGATATCAATACTACGGCACTAATTTACTCCATCTGTACGTTGATTGTTCAGTCTAACAGTAGTACCGGACACTTTCTGAAATAAATTTCCAACTAATCAGTTTTTTCATAAGCTTTATGTCTGTTTTATCCTATCACTTTTTTGTCGTTCAGACTATTGAAGCATGTCACGCAGTGAGAAATCTTTTGGATTTCACTGAAGTTGAGATTCCAGTCCAACCACGATTAGCAAGTAGACTGATCGGATCAAAAGGCATGAATATTCGCAAGTTAGCAGAAGCTGCAGGTGTTCGGCGAGCTAAGCTACTTGATCCTTTCGCTAGAAAACGCAGACTAATGGCTCAACGTCAAAGTCATTGTCCAGTACGTGTTGACTTGGAACGCGGAGGTTCTGTAACAGATGGCGACGTTCATGAAGATACATCAAACGGTGAAGAAACTGACAACGGGAACGAAAAGCTTTCTGTCAATCTGGATGGTTATTTGAATGATGACAAGAACTCCGGTGGTATCGTCGACTTATCCCCTGCTTTCTCTCTTGTTGGTACACGTTCATCTGTTGCGAAAATGCGTCTACTACTTGAATTCCAAGCAGATAATTGGAATGAACTAGATGAATTAGAAGTATGTGATTTTCTTCTATCAACTTAATATTTTCATTCAAAATCAACATCTTGTCCTTTATTTATCTGTTTGTTTACTACTTTAACAGTATTTCCGTCATTTCATAAAACCAGTCACATGTGAATTGTTTAAGTTATTCATCGCAATTGTATACTACCCCGTGTTTTTGTAATCTTATTTACTCTGCTATAGGAAGCCCGGAGATCGTTGTTCAGTCAGTTGCGTCAAACCAATCAACTCAATCACCAATCGGATTCTGTATCACCTACTCGCATTTCGAATGGCAGGCCTAGTAGAGGTGGTGGGAATTTCGGGTTTGTATTTATTTTAAAGATTTTTGTAATTTAATCTATATTTTAAGTTTCTTCTGGTTTATGACCGAACTTCATGAATAATGGTATTCTTTATTTCCATACTTTGATTCCAATCAAATATTTACTCTCGTGGCTGTATTTCGTTTTTATTAGCTTAGTAGAACATTGTACTTTCATAGCTTATACAGACTCATATTTTTTATATTTGACAATCCTGTCAGTTGCACTTTTGAATAGTGAACCCCCTTAAAATGCAGTTACTTTTATTACTTTTTCAATCTATAATATACACTTTTCTCAGCAGTCTTTATCAATTAAGAGTTGGCATAAATAAGGTAGTTCACACACATTGGAGTATACAATTTGTATTAAATGTAGCCTACTTTACATAAGACCTTTTTGTTTCACCATGATTTTCACAGCTATCAATATAGTTTGAATAAATCACATTTACTAAGTAAACTTAAGTCATAATTTCTCGTCGGCAGTACTTTTGAACGTAGAAACTACATGTTTTTTCACTATTTTAAGTACGAACCCAAAGACTCCTTGTCTGATTTCATGAGCTATAATTAACAAAGACTCATGTAAAGCATCTTTAGATTAAGAACTTATTTATGCATGTTTGTTATCATCTGATATAATGTAATTAGTTCAAGTCCAAACTTTGTCAGTAGATGCAGACTACTTCGTTGAGATGTTCGTGGTCAGTGGCCGGAAACATTGGCTAAAATGCCTCAGGTACGATCACAATGGTGCAGATACATTCATTTATCTTTTCCTATCCCACTGGAATTAATAAGTCAAGTGTAAGTCAGACTATTTCGGACAAAGACGACACCCTCATCTGCTCTCAGTCCAGACGTTTAGAACGATGGGCGGAACATTTCAGAGGACAGTTCAGCTGGCCTTCAGCTACTCTACAACTACCCTCCATTCCCAGACAGTGTGAATGGAACATTGAAGTAGGTCCCCCAACTCTTGCTGAAGTTCAAAAGACTATAGTTAATCTGAAACGAGGAAGGGCAGCTGGTCCAGATTGATTGGCTCCAGAGGTCTTTAAGGATGGTGGTCCAATTTGAGCGATTAGGTTGACTAATATTTTAGCTAAGATCTGGAAGTTAGACGTTATTCCATCTGACTGGTCACAATCACTTATCGTCCCAATATATAAGATAGGGTTAAAATCATCCTGTGACAACCATAGAGGGATTAGTTTAACTAATATAGTATCTAAAATACTAGCCTCGATAATTATCAAACGCCTAACTAAGACACGTGAACTGCAAGCACGAGAGACTCAAGCTGGCTTCAGACCTGGTCGTGGCTGCATCGACCACATATTCACCATTCGTCAGGTTCTAGAACATAGGCATGCTTATCGGCGTCCGACAATGGTGGTCTTTCTCGACTTGAAAGCAGTATTTGACTCTGTAGACCGAGAGATTCTGTGGCAGTGTCTCATTGAAAGGTGTACCTCAGAAGTACATAAACCTTGTAAAGGCTCTTTACTCGAACACTACTAATCGAGTGAGAGCTTATAGCGAAGTGTCATCTGATTTCGCAACCTCAAATGGTGTTTATCAAGACTGTCCACTATCTCCATTCTTGTTTAACTTCATTATAAACATACTGATGGAAATAACGCTGTCGTCTACTGAAATCTCGGGTATTGATCTCCTTCCAGGAGGTCCACTTTTCGACTTAGAATACGCAGATGATATAGTCCTGTTTGGTGAAGACGCTGGTAGAATGCAGAGTCTTTTGGTAGCACTGAGCAACAATACCAGGATGTTTGGAATGCGCTTCCGTTCTGTTCCACTTAACGGCTGCGAAACATGGCCAGTAAGAGTAGAAGACAATCGTAAGCTATTAGTATTTGACCACAGATGCCTCAGAAATATTGCTGGCGTCTGCTGCGATCACCGGATAAGTAATAGTGAGGTTAGACGCAGGGTATTAGGGGATGATGATAAATCAGTCGATGAGGTTGTGAATCTTCATCGACTGAGATGGTTGGGCCACGTGTTACGTATGCCCGAACACCGATTACCACGACGTGCAATGCTAACCGGTGTTCGGGATGGTTGGAAGAAAGTTAGGGGCGGCCAAACCAAAACGTGGCATCAGTGCTTGAAGTCACTAACTTCTAGTCTGAACCATGTTGGTAGATGCAGACTACTTGGTTGGGGTCCGCGTGACTATCGTAACCAGTGGTTGGAGACTCTTGGTGACATGGCTCAGAATCGATCACAATAGCGTAAGTGTGTACACTCTCTATCTTCCCTTAAACTGTGAGATTAAAATCGCTTCATACCTTCCTTTCTACGAACTGATTCTTTCTTCCTGTGCTATGTCCTCATATGCAATCTTCCTTTTATATATTACCACCACTGAATTAACTACTTCTATGTATTCGTGTTGATCTTGTTGTGCTAGTGAGGTATGGCAACTTGGACCGATGCACAAATGTGCCTGGTCCTACGTTGTAGCTGACTGACTGACTTATCTTTTCCTAAGTTTTTGGCTTCAATATTTTATTCATACTCGTTTTCTGAATTTATCCCTTTTTAGAACTCTATCCGCCAAAAGTGGTCTTTATCATAAATAATAATAGTACCTTAACTCTTATAGCATATAATAGATTAGTTTCACCTCGATTTGTTGATGTTATTTCGGAACTTGGGTTGCTGGACATATGTCCCAGGCTTTATATCGAGTATGACTAAGGTTTTTCGTCATTTTATATATAGACATTTCTTATTCTTTGAAACCAAATCTGTTTCTCAGGAGGAATCGAACTGTGGGTCGCGGTCGTCGACAACCTGAGAGCTTTGTTCCTGAGCAATCTTTGGATGATAAAGAAGTATCTCATCCGCCTAATGCTCATGGGCAACACCTGCGTGGCAAAAATACCCACCAGTCAGATGCACCCAATAGTAATATGAAAAATCGTCAACCATCCGTCAATGATTCGTATTCTTGTTATTCTAACGGTATATTTAATTTCACTGATGTTCATTATTAAATACTTATGTTTACATTATATTACAGTTAGATTTCTTGAGATTTGTATAAATAGTGTTTTGAAAATCTTCATTATGTGTGTCGATTAAAGTACACGAAAATCCTAGGCATTCGCGTTAGCTTTAGTTCTGTTTCAAAATAAATATCTAGAAGCGTAGAGCAACACCTCAGATAGTTCTAGGCCACAACAAATTCTGTCGAATTTCATTTAGTGCTGAGAATTGTTGTTTAGATGGCTGCACACAATTTGAGGACTTATGGTTTGATTTTTTAAAACATTTCATTCCAAGAAATCGTTGAAGGTAAAGTAACAAGTGTTCTGACAGTAACAGGCTTTTTACGTAACCGAGAGTTTTCTAACATGGCTATTAGACGCTATGACAAGATATTTTCGTTGCCTCATTGTCGTGTCATGAAAATGTATTTTGCCAACCCCATGCGTAATTATATGATAATCGTACTCATGTAGTGGTGCTAAGTTTTTTTGATATTCCAGTTTGCGTCTGATTGTCTTGTGTTCCTAAATATCACATGTTTATCTTTCCTATTTTTTAAGGTGTAATGTCAACTGGTGATCATGGAAATCCACAAGCTGACAATAAAGCTATTAAGAATGATAATTTGGGCGCAAATAATGTAAATGACGACCAAACATCAAAACAGAACAACGGTACCTCTAGACGTAGTCAAAACCACAATAAGGCAAGAGCAAGTTAATGTTTGCGGATTTATGATATTTCACCAAGATCGTATGGTGTCCTTTTACATACGTTGCCTTTTCCAAAAGCTAACTATTTTGAGTTAAAATGTGCTTTCTTACAGTTATTAGGTTTATCTTTCCACAAAATGTTCATAATCGTATGCAGTGTAGATGGTCTTCCTCCTAGTATTCTGCATAAATGCTCTTTCATTTTCGGACTGTATCTCAACAATGACAGGACATCATGTGTTTGTTTAGATTTTCGCTTAGCCTTTTGAAGTGCATTTACACACGCGCCACCACTGTGTAATTAAACATGACTTTGTTTCTCTCACCAGTCTGTACCTTTTTACATTGCAACCTCAAATTGACTGGCGATTATCTTTTAGCTTTTCTCTACCACCATCCATCGATAAATTTTGATCTTTGAAAATAAGATTGTTGGTTTTGCGTATTATTTTTTCTATGTGGAGGTGGGGTAAACCATTTCTTCAGTAAACAGCACGATTGTAAAAATTGGGAATCTGTTGTGTTTCTGCTTGAACATCGATACTAGAAGTTTGTAAAACGTAGGCGTCTTGATAGGAACACTTAGTTTAAATATGAAGTTAAATCAGCATGTCCGAGCCTAAATGTTTCAGAGATTACACATAGGTATACGTATTCTGCTCACTTTGCTCATTATTTGATGTTTCATGGATCTGTTTTTTCCTGTAATCACAGTGACTTACGACAAATATTCCAAAATATTATCGAAGCCTTCAGACTACATTTTCACATGAGATATAATTACAAAAATACTTTGACTTCACTGATTTCATAATGATTAAACTGCTAATGATGTAAACAACTTCCGTGGTTGTAATTTCGAAAACTTGATGTATTTATTCGTTTCTTGTCCTTTGATCCATTTCGTTTAGATACAATCCAATTCGTCCGGTTAGTGTACTTTGACTTAGTAATGAGTCATGTTAGATCATTGCAAGCCATTTTAGTGAATGTAACATCTCGAGCCAAAAGTCCTTTGTGCAGATGTAAGTTCCGAGTATGTACATGTACAATTGTCGTGATGGCTTCACTTTTAAGATTCACCACATTTTATATCAGTTTATGGACACGCGATTCTTCTGTGATTCATACTTATAAAATAATAATGCCCTTGCACTTACCTTATGAATTTGTGGATGTAGTAGGACTAAATTCTCTGTTTGTAATTATCTGAAATCTCAGGGGAAAGGGTCTCCTTAAAAACATCTCATATGTTCATAAGTTGGGTAATATTTGAGGCATTCGAACATAGATAACCAAGTTTCAGTCAACACAAGGCTATTCATGTCAAGAATGACGTTTAAGGCATGCTCATTTCTTGTATGTCTGGTTGACCAACTTGCAATACGATCACTGGTCCAAGTGACTGGACCTTGCGTGAACTATTGCAGTGCTAGATAAAGCTTGAATACTCCAGCAGTTACGTGGTCTCAAAATACAAGTCGAATGGTCCTTGTTGTAAGACACCCATCAGGAAGTTATCTAGAGCAGTGTTTTATGTTGATTGCTTCCAACCGTCTAAAATAAGGAAGTGCACGGGATGTCAAACTATTTAGGATGTTGGTCATATTGAAACGTGATCGATGGATTTCGATCAGCATTAAACATTGAGGCATGACGTCTTAAGTATAATACACTGTAAAAGTACTTTGCTACATAAATAACATTTGACAACTCAATGTACCGGTAGACCAGCTGCTTATCAGTAATAGTGGATTTCTAATTTACACAGTAAACAAAATATCCCATTAAACGGACTTCATACATTTAGGGCAGCACAGAAACTAGCCAATTCTAGTTACATGTATAATTTGGTGTCTTCAGAAAAATGTTGCCTAATACAACTTCCTAGAATGGCTTTGACAAAATAAATTTCAAATATCAAGTAGATTATCAATACAGGATTTTGGAGATTGTTGTTTAAATTGATATCATAAATAGACCGATCTTAGACCACCATTCTAGATGAATTTCCTGGAGTTCTAGTGAGAAGCCGTGGCTAGTGGAGTTCAACCGTGACTTTTGTATAGCATTTACTCACTGAAGACAATGGTGGACGGTCGCGCAATATCGCAAATCGATCGAAGTTATACATCAACGCCATTGAATGCCGGCTCAGTGGTCTAGAGTTTAAGCGTTCGCGCGCGAGTCCGAAGGTTCTGATCACGCGTGTGGGATCGTGGATGCGCACTGCTGAGGAGCTCCATAATAGAACGAAACGGCCGTCCAGTGCTTCCAGGTTTTCAATGGTGGTTTAACATTGATCTATTCATGATATGAATTTGACCTAATGTCAAGTAGACATTGAGTTTATACTTGAAGAAAACATCGGAAATCCTTGTGAATTTTGTAAAAATATTTGTTCACTTTACGGAAATGGTCATGAATTCAAAAGCGTACATACATAATCAGGAATATTATCGTAAAAACGGTTCTAAATTAAATTATCTAAATTACCAACATAACGAAGAACTAAGCAGCTGAGTTCAATATAGGTCTGAGAATGCTTCAACTTTCTAACACCATGGATAGACCCAAATTATCGTGCTTTCAAACATCGTGTATTCATGAATATTTATTCTTAGTAAGTTCCCATAGACTTCTTACGAAGCTACTATAATATTATATATGCAATGCGACCCAAGCCAGCTGCCGTTTGCTAAAGATACCTTTTTTTGTTTTACATTCAAATTAATAAAATCAACTAGGGAATTTTATTTTTTATATGAACAGATTACAGAAATAATCCAACTACAAGCAATAAGTGGTTTTCGATTGTGTTGTTCGGATTTGTCCAGTGACAGCAACTGCCATCAAAAATTCCTGAAAAAAAGAAAGAGAAGTGTGTATACTAATGCACTATACATAATATAATCATTAAGGGCAATTAGTCCCGTATCTACCATAAACAAGAAAGGTAGAGTACTGCGTTTTTACTATTATCTGAGGAATTCGAAAAGGATAGTAAAATTGTTCCTATGCGAAAATGTAGTGAATAGTTTAGTCAATTTAAAGTTTTTCAAAATTATTTACCGACTGGGATGACTGATTGTTATCATGTGGATGATTTGGAAAAGATGTGCACTTTCCTACACAGCTCAATCAGTAACGATATGCCCAACTGTGATTTTCTGTTTTCGTCAACCTTAGCTTACCTTCCAACTAAATATTTTGAACTAGCTAGGTAAGTTGCTGTGGACGACTTACTGAATTACGTTATCTACTCGAAAACATCTAATACGATTCAGATAAAGATATCAAATGAAGTACTAAATAGAAATCTATATAGAAAAATTTACTTTCTATCAGTCTGAAACAAACAAGAAATTGTAGACTTTAATGCAGTAATAGTCAGTGTTTGTGACAGGGGAGAAAAAATATTCTTATTTGAGGCCACAGAGTCACTAAGTAAATGCTATCAATCACATTAAAACCTTTATATTTGCAGTTTATCGCGAAAAGCTCTGGGGTTAAGTGTTTAAAACGCATTAGGTAGGTTTTGGTTACCATTCAGCACTAATAAACTGTTACTGATTATTAAGTCAAAGTAATATTGGTTTGTATGTAACGGATTAAATTAATAATCCCATTACGTACGTTCAAAAAAAGAACACTTACATCTAATAGCTTACTGTCAACTAATTTATTACCGCTAGTCTAATGTTCATATAGTAAGTTATGTGGCATCCTTGTTACTACAGCCACACCTTGCTGTCTAGTGTCAGACAGCATGAAACCGAGAAAAGATGCGTCTATTTATCAATGTTCGGTTTGCGGGGGGTTAATGAGCATTTCCGAGAATTTTTAACCCACTTAGTGAGCAAGTGATGTATAAAAAAGCGCGATTTTCACTCAAGACAATATTTCAAGCTCTAATTCTCACTTTATTTGATTTTCCTATCTGTCAGTTTAAGATGCCCTGCCGTAGCGTGTCCATAGAAGACATTTGTAGATAGCTATGGACTATTGAAATGGAATCTATAGTGAAAATCATGCCTTTATTTGCAGCATTCATAAACTAAATGAACAGATAAATGCCAACCAATTCACGAAACTGATAATGTTGAGTCGAAATAAAGAACGATAGCTTTACAGTATACCAGTAGATATTTTCAATGATTGAGTAAAATCAATCCATTAAATTAATGTGTATATTCGCAAAGCAATAATTAGATAAGCGTAACTTGCGGTTAATTTTGTATTATTGAACAGTTTGGAACATTTATAGGAATAGTCCAATAATATTCAATTTCAAACATATAACAAACTATTTTGATGGAATTTTGTTCTCTGAGCTGGATAGTTTGGTCATCGAGCTTTCATCGTTCTTCTGAACGATATCATCAGCACAAACTTCAGTGCTTAATTATCATGTAAAGTTAAAAACGCTAATTAATTGCGTTGAAGTTATGGATTAACAATAAAAAAACTAAGGAGAATGAACAACGAGAATCGAAACAGTAGTCTAGTAAACCTGTTTTGGAATACGACTTATCTGCCCTGGTTTGACCGAGAGCGGGGTGGCTTCGCCCCCACGAAATACTCTCACACGGCCACGCGTATAGAGCCTCTGCCAGGGAAGTCCTATTCAATGCTTTCTCGTGGCGGGGGTGTTGTTTACGAAAATGAGAGGACGAAAAGCGAATGTCCGGCGCTTTAACCGGATCCCAAACCAATGGTGCACATGGGCTCCAATATCCTGTGGGAACAAATGGCGTATGAGCCAATCGTTGGTCATCGGCTACCATGGGACTGCATCTCCTTACGATGCTCTTTTGCCTTGTGTGTTAGACCTTTAGGTCAAAGGCTCGGGGTGTGACCCCCTAAGAAAACCACCTGCTTCGATCTGGGCAACCGGGCAGTATCTCAGGCCGCACACAAAAATGTGTGACGCATATATATTTGGTGCCATCTTGTACCAATATTTATGTGTCCAAATAAATAAATAAAAATAGAAAAAAAATGAGACAATTTAAAAATTACTCTCATTCTTCAAATTCATTAATATGTATATATACAAAGTGGTAATTAATATCAGAAAGGGTTTTGTGGATTTTATAGTAATTTCAATAGTTGAGATCATGAGTCAATTGAAGCTAAACCACCATCGAAAACCTGGAAGCACTGGATGGCCGTTTCATCCTATTGTGGGACTACAGCCTGCGCATCCACGATCCCGCCTCGCGCGCGACCTTTTAACCACTGAGCCAACATCCGACGGTGTTAATTTCTGACTTCAGCTTATCCATGAAATTGAACGACACATCCACCATTGTCATCAGTGAGTTACCATCTCACAAGAAACCTGATTGAGCTACATTGGTCACGGCTTCTCACTAGAACTCCAAGAAATACCTCTTGAAGAAAGTCACTAGTGAGCATATGTTCATTAATATCAGAAAGGGAGTCCCACAGTAGGACGAAAAGGCCGTCCAGTGCTTCCAGGTTTTTTATGGTTATCTAGCTTCAATTGACTCATGATCTCAAATATTAAAATGGTAATCCATAAAATAATGACACTGAAATTAACTAACCTTCAATAATTTACTAGATTGAACAGTACTCATTCCAGTTCCACGAATATCTGTGATAATATTATTTAATAAATATGATATTGCAGAATTACGACAAACAGAAGATGATTCCTTGTTATTTTGTTTACAATACGCATCAGTGGAATATAATAAATTAATCAATTCTAATGTACCAGCTAATGGTACTATAATTCTTTGTCGTTCATTTGTATAATCTTTGAGATAAGCTAAACTTCCTGTAGATTCCCCCCAAAAAACAATTAAAATGAATGTAGAATGTTTACACTACATAAAATGTACAGTTTATAAAGATTATAAATTGAAAATGGTAAAAACAGCAGTTTCTTTATATAAACAACATGCTTGTGAAATTATCTTTGTACAAATGAATTTATTAATTATAAGTACAGTATAAATAAACCATACATTGATCTAACATCATATGAAAACGTTTGAAACAAGTACGACATTTTTTTTAATCGGTTACGTTTTACTATACAGTAAATTAATTAAGATTGACCTAGTGATGTCAGAGTCACAGTGTATATAAAGAAATAATAATCTGACTATCAACTGCATTATGAATCATGTCAGTTAGTGAAATATAACAAACTATTTTTCAACAAGTTGGAGAGTGCTCAGCTACTTTTGTGGATATGAATCAAAGATAAAGAGTGCAAAGAAATATGAGGTGAAGTAACGTTTAATTGTAATGTGTGTCAGAGAAATAAATCAAAATTAGATATTATTCTTTTTTACAGTGTATATATCCTTATATCTTTCAATGCATTAACCAACAAAAAAATTGACTGCATATTTAGGCGTTTAATAATAATTGATCGCTTTACTGCCCTATAATATCGTGGATTGTTTATAGAATAGTTAAATAGATTCATTTGAATTCAAACGCACGAATACTGTAATATTCTAGCGGAGATTAAGATTTTGGGTAACTACTGAGAACTATTTATAAACTAATAGTACACATATATTCTAATTGTATAACTATTGAGTAACTAGGTTATGCTTATTTATGTTTTCTCTTATTATAAGCTTCATTTTGACCTATAGACCATTATTATCCGATTTATTATTCTTAAGTTATACTCAGTTTATTAATCGGAGTCTCTTAGATTCACAGCCACTTTTTAGCCTGATCCCGTATAATTTTTATTTTGTATTTTATGGTATAATGTGGACTGATTCGCTTGTTAAATAAACCCAGTATGTTTGGAATATACGATTCGTATAGTGGAAGCTGATATTGGTGTTCTGGTTTCAATAGGCAGGAAAAAGGGACCACATAAAGACACCGGGCTGTTCATATCGGTCAATACGTCATTGGTTCGGCAGAGTGCTAATATTGTATAAGTCGTATTCTGACTGGCCAATAAGTCAAGTTATAATTAATTGGCTAAAAGTCACAACAAATACTTCATTGTTATCTAAGTGAAGTTCAATAGTGTTTGATTGAGGTTTCAGGCAAGTGCATAAATAGACATGACTTGTAATGTATATAATTCACACTTTACCCATAGCTGCTCTATGTTTTTAGGAAACAGGAAGTAGTTACTTGGTTAGGGTTATAGTGCTAAGCGAATACGATAAACTTGATGAAATAGGATGAATTCCTAACTAGGTCAATCGAACACCACAAAATTTATACCTTTCCAGTTAATCAGTTTGACGTAAACGTGTCAATACGAAATCAGTACAAATGTGAAATAGATGATTTTGTTTTGTGCATCAAATAAAAGAAAAAGTATTAGTGATAATAGTTGTGCAAATTGTTTCTTACCAATATTAGCTCCATGCAAAACAGCTTCTTCTAAATGCCTAACCAATGAAACAACATCACCGAAACCAAGGTTAACACCTTGACCAGCAAGTGGTAGTATTCGATGAGCAGAATCACTATATTAATGGTATGTTTTTGAGAAAAAAAAACATTTAAAAGAGGTGCAACTAACAATTAACAAATAAATTCAAAAAAATATCTTGAAATATTTTTGATAAATAGTATTTCAATCTAAAAAAGTCTTCAAATAGTGCACACGATAAACTATAGTTTTATTTGGAATAATTTCAACAAAATATCTTATAACAGCCAACCAAAGTTAAAGGTTTAATAAAACTCATTCAGTATAACCTAGTAAACAGTTAAACTGCCAGTTACTAAGGTTTAAACTACTGAACTGTAATTATATGAATATGTAAATTAAAAGGAGAGCGAGGTAGGGGAGTGATCAAACAGGTTACTCGATAAGTGATATTCCAGTTTGAAAAATTATCTTGCCTCTGATTTAATGTGATAATCACTTTGATTTTAGATGACTTCACAACCCCCTTCCTCACATAAACTTGCAAATCTAACAAAAATAGGAAGGATAGGTGGCAGTTTCGTGAATCAATTACTATAAGGTGATGTAGGCGAAAAAGCAAGAGAAATAGGATTATGCGGATGGTTGAAATAGACTTAGTTTTTTTAATTATTTGCAGTTTTCTATAAATTTTTGTTGTAACGGGTGACTGCAGATTATGATAAGCAGTGTTTATATCGATCAATTACAGTGACAACGTAAAAACACGTAATGGACGGCCTAGAGTTTTGATTGGTCCCACTTCCCTGTCTAGCCCAGCCAGTTTAGTCCAGAGCACAAGTCACAGCCTCTGAGTTATGAATCATTGTATTTCAGACATACTCTATTTATATACTAACCAAACAAACCACATCGTACCATAAAATAGAAAACAACATTTACACAATGTTCAACAAGTGAAACAAACATCGACCAATCGGAAATGTCCAAGGACACCATTCGACTTAACACGATAATTATTGGCATATTCCTCTGCATACCTAACATTTTTATATTCAATGTATACAAATATTATAATGAGTGAAGAATTTCGTTTAAGCTGACTTCCTTTACTCCTGTTCACTTTTTGTGTCTTATTGATAAACGATCGCTAAATTTACGTATTCGTACACACACTTCGTCTTGACTTTGTTGGCTGATGTTTTCTAATTGTTTACTAACAATCCTGTTGAATACGCTTTAGCTAACACCATACAGCATATTCTCTGTCGATTACACACAAACACTTTGGATCTATATCTGACTTTCCTAGGAATTATTTGCCCTATAGCGTTATGATTGTATATATATATTTGTTTCTGTGTTATATAAACTTACTCTCTTGCTACTCAGGATGTGTATACCATCTCATAGATGACTGACTCACTTAGAAACGAACATAATAGATAACAATTGATTGATAAGTAGCGTTAAAAACTACTCCATCAAACTAATAGTATTTTACAGTTTACTCTCCAAGACTGGAAGGCAGTGTGTTTTATTGCCGGTAGGGTCATAGGTGCTCACTGTTGAGAAATCCCATACCAAGGCAAAATGGCTATCCACTGCTTTTAGTTTTCCAGTGGTTATCTAACAAAGGTCAATGGCTATGATGCAAGCAGTAAAATTCACTGATATTATTGTTTAAATACGTATTTAAATGATTAACATACCCCACTAGTGCCACACGAGGAGCTGAATAAAATGTGGCATGTTGAAAACCTAGAGGGAAACAAGCCCTTTTCGTATTTGGTTGAATCGATAATACTGTTGGTGTTGAAAATGAGTTGGATTCACTTTCATTGTCTGTAGATTTTATTTGATTACCAAAGTAATCAACAACACTAGCAAAACATTGTCCCATCTTATTGAAAAGTGCACCAATTTGTGACGTCGATTCATTAGGTTTAGTCTAACAAATGAAGAAAAGAATACATATTTCTCGAAAGAAAAAAATATCGGGAAGAAGTGGGATATAATTCAGCAAAGATAAACAAATATGAGGGAATTATTGAATATTACAATAGTTAAAGACCGTAACATTAGCATAGTGGCTTTAATATATCAAATTGAATGAAATGTTCTAAAACACAGAGATTTTAATATCGGACCTTCAAAAAAAGTAAGGTTCCACAAATAATTAGTTGTTTGGAGAGTTGTATGAGGTTTAATTAATTTTACATGAGCTTATTACAAAGAAATTTCCCATTTACTCATTGAATAGTAAGTACATATAAAAGCATGAATCAAAGAATTTCAACACAACTTACCAAACAGTCATTCAACTCTTTAATAAAATCTAAATCTTTTAAATTCATAAGACGATCAGCTTCATACGAAGTTGTACTCCAAACTAATGATGAATATTCTTTTGACAACTTTTAGATAAATGAGAGAGAAAAAAGTATAATTGGAGTATCTTGTTACTATTTCGTATAACTTCAAAACTAATCATACATTCATCTAACATTCAAAGAAATTTTAATAATTAGACTAAAAATTAATTCATAAAGACGATAATTATCTACAATTATTATCAATATTGTGAAAAGAAAAAAAATATCTGTTCAATGATTTCATAACAATGAAGATAAATAGATCATACGCTAGAAAATTCATTAGAGAAATAAACAGACAAATAAATCTAAACGTACAACGTTACAATAAATACGTTTATGATAAATTATGAGTATATATATATATATATATATATATATATATATATATATATATATATATATATATATATATATATATATATATATACGATCTCCCAAGCGGGATTTGAACCCAGGACCGTCGGTCTTGCGCGAGAGATCATGGATGCACACTTCTAAGGAGTTCCATATGTAGTGTCAGTTACTATGTTAAGCCCATATACTGTATTCTAACTTTCGGACATCCCATTCTATTCATTCTACTTGAGTCATATTTTGACCTTGTTATTTATTCGCTTATCAATCTAGACTGTTTTTATATGAGCGTATATGTGTGTGCCCTTCTTATCCCGTTAATCACATGTCTGTAGCTTTATTTGGTCTGACTATAAATATTGAGTAACGCTTGACTAAAGGGGAGTTGGCTTACCAGCCATCTCCACTGCGCATCATTTTTGCTTGGCTTCACCGTGTGCTTGCTTACTCTACGCTTGCGGATTTTTATTAATCTTTAACAATAACTTATCTCTACAACTGGTGTTCAGGCTTCTGAATAATCTCGAGTAAATCTGTAATTCTACTAGGAGATTAAGCCTACCTTAAATACTCAGTTTATGGGATATTATTTATTGGAGTCAGATATTGAAGCCAGACATACTATGACGAAATGGTCGTCCAGGTTTTCAATGGTGATCTAACTTAGATTGATTGGTAAATTCAACTATTTTAATTCAGTTGATTTGTTAAATAATAAATACTATGTTAACGCTTCAAAGTTGTTTGAAGTAATTGAGAAAGTAGATGAGATCTGATTTCTGACATTTTGCAATAATATGACTTATCGAAAATTCCATAAACTGATTGTATCAACTCATTAAAATCTATTCAGCAGTTTTGCAATGATTTAGTTATTATGACATTTATTATTTATTTAAAATTTTATTAAATAATATAATCCAAGAGTAAAAATTAGTGTAATTCGGAATGAGAAATCGATTTGTCACTTTTTCACATACACACACACAAATAAATAAAGTGACCACTTTTTAAACATGAAGGTTTCTTATAAAAGAAAAAAAAAGAAAACAAAACCATCAACCCTTGATGTGAAACAGATTAATTGGTTTTGACAGAAAAAAATTGACAACAGCGAAGACACTTTCATTGTACCTTAATAAACACTTACAATATCATACATATTCTGAGTTTTTTTAATTTATCATTTTATTGCAAATCACTACTACTCTTACTACGTACTCATTTGCATTTCTAAAATACCTTTATTTGTCTTCGAGTATACACACAATTGTCATACATATTTTAAAATCTAATTTGTAATTATGAGAGTAAACATTCGAAAATTACTTAATTGATTAAATTCTTATAACGTTTGAACGTTACTCTGTTTTTTTTTTAATATAGACTAGTCTATCGAACTGAAAGATATATATGATGATACTACTTCTAGTGCAAAATCTATTCAATATCGATATGGTTTATACATGAAGACTGTGTACTCCTAACAACCAAGACTAAATTGATAGACAAAAAAGACAGTGTCCTTTCTTTGATTATAGCTTATTTAGATAAACACTAGAACAGAACAGATCAACTATCCTTCCATACAGAAATAATGTGTTAACTGATTCATTCTAATATATAAACCGATTTGCATAGGTATACATATATAATTCATATCCAGAGTCGGTTATTTCATAGACTAGTATTGTGCCGTGGTGTGAATTATCTTGAAAATTTTCTAAACTACTTCTGTGTATACAAGAATGGTATACCGAATGAGCCATAGTATACATATAATAAACATGGGTCCACTCTACATGAAACACACACTGAGGATACCTATGACTGAGTGTGATTTTCAGAAACTAGGTCCTAAAGCCATTAGGATCAAAAAATGGAATACTGTGCAATACTGCCAACTACCAGCAAGCATCATGACAAGTTTTTTCCGAGCTACCTACTAAAACATCGAATGGTCACCGCACCTTAACTGAAAATTTAGTGATATAATAATTGAATGTTAATTGTCCTTCAATCAGTTACGATGTTTATAAATATAACTACATTTGTAAAATTCTCTTGACTTGATAATATTACAGTTATCCATAAGCAATGTAAAGACTGGGATTATTTTTTTCAGCACAAGTTACCACATTTCCCTTCAGGACAGCACAGGTGGTGATATTAACAACATAACAAGTAAATAAGGTGAGATAATAATGATAATAACTGTAAAGTTAATAATGATGTGTGCACTAAACATAACGATAGGTATAGTTTATTAAAAGCAGTTTGAAACATAAAGCTATACAATCATGAAGCAAAATAAAACTCAGTGAGAATAACCACTTACTGGGAGTAATGCAACTGGGCCTGTTGGTAGAAACCTTTGCCAAGCGATAGATTCATTATTAGCCTGATGATATGAATATAAAAAAACGATTAAAAATTTATCAATTAATTAGTCATAAACATAACTCAAATAGACGTATGACATAAAAAAACATAAAACATGAAGATCGTTATTGAGATTCGGTTAGGACGCCCAGGCAGTTATCCAGCCCTTATATTTGGTGCCCCCTTGTACTAATATTTATGTGTCTCAATAAATAAATCTTAGGATAACAATTATATTCATTTCATATAATTGACTTTAGGGACACAGATGTGAAGAGGCGCCAACTGGATAAAGTCCATTTAATTAGTTTGAACCCATAACATGAAAATCTAGTACCAAAATTATGCAGTCAAACATTTAGTTTTACGCAGAAAACGATATTAGAACCATTGAAGTCTACATAATGCGTTTATTACTTGCCCAGAAATAACCATTAATTTAAAGTAAGTAATATAACTTTACCAAAACAAACATCTAACTTTGAATATTGGTAATAAAGTCAATTGATAACCTATCAATACATATAGCGAAGTAAATACAACGAAAGCTTTTTCACTCATCGTAAATTTAACGCAGTCAACAATGAGAAAGTTTACTTAGAAGGTTGGAGAGAATTATTGTTGATTTTCTGATCATAGTACTCCATAGATTAAAAATCTGTAAGTTATATAATGGAATTCAACCGAACGAATATATGACTAGCCGAACACTTCTTAAGTAACAGGCATCTTTAAGCGCGGTTAAATGCAATCTCGAAAAAAAAACATCTCATCATAATGATTTACCATATTATCAAACTATATCAATCGTACAACCATGGCATAAACATTATGGTTACAGACACATTCTGATGACAGAATGTGATGAAAAAAAGAAAAGAAAGAAGAGCCATAAGATAAAATGACTTCCTATTTATTAAGTTAATATGTCAAATTTGTTTAATTTGAAGGAATCTGTAATTGAATATTTCCTTACTCTGTATAGTTGGCCTTACTGCATAACTATTAAACAAATAATAAACTTTATTAGTTTGCGTTTTCAATTTAAATGTAACCAGACCAATAATCATGTTGGTAGGCTACAAAGTAGAAACACCAGATGACAAAAAGGTACTAAATATGGAGGTGGTTAGGAGGAAACTAAGGATTTAGGTTTTGTAATAGTTGGCACTTGTCAGCAGGCGATTATTGTGATCTTGAGGAAACGGATGCTCTCTGTCGGATTTGAGCATGTGTCACTCAATCTGGAAATTTAATTCTAAGCCATACGGGCCGCGACTGCGTGAAATAGATTCGAATCTCACAAGGAAAATGAGTCTCTTCAAGATTAAAGGTGCCGCGTTGGCAACAAGTACCGACCGGCATAGAACCAAAGTTGGTGGTAACTTGACAACCACGCTACACATCAGCACAGTGCATGCGATGTCGAGTCACTTAGACTAGTGACGACATTGTAACTTGGTTGACAGGATTCGATCAGCATTGAGAAACTGGACAAACATGGCACTGATCAATACTACTCAGTGGTCAGTCAATTATAGGTAGTAAATACATGGAAACTAATAAAGATAGGATATTACTGATTGAATATAAAAACTTGGGGATTAAGGAAATTTATTAAATCCGGCAACAATGAACTTATAAAATCGCTTCATCATTAGACAAAATTATGAATTAATTATCAATGATGAATTATTAGATTTAAGGTAGAATTTCTGGTTCCTTCACCCTTAAAGAACAAGTTATGATGAACCATTAGAAGATTTAAAAATCAAAGAAATGTATAAATCTACTTGAATATAATGGGCATCAACACCAAGGCTTACTCAATGTAACGATTGGATCGAATATATATATGTCAATATCAAATACGACAGTAGTGTACACCATGGTCAGTCCTCTGTGTGGACGTCTCCCGGTGAACTTAAAAAAGCTCTGAAAGCGCCAAAGGCATTCCATCCTGTCATCGTTTGGAAGTTTAATACACGATGTCGACTTGTATCTTCCCGATTGGACAAATGCTAAAAACTACTGTCTGTGCATCAGATAATTGTAATGATAATTTCGTTTTTATTAAAACTATGAATACCCGAGTGTTTTGTATCATATTTGATACTGGTTTGAATAAGATTCCTTTCCACTCGTCTTCTGCCTTTTAACTTGAGACTTGGAGGGTTCGAGTGCTCAAGTTGCACGCGGTATAGAAAAAATCCAAGTTCTAGATATAACATCTAATATAAAAACAAACAAATTTCTGTGACATAACTGATTTCACGGTTTAATTCAATTTAAAATGGATTGGATTATCCCACTGTTGATATTTGGTATCTCATACTCGTTGCATAGGTGAGTGGCTATCTGGATTCAGTAGCTAAGTGGATGGTGTTTGGAGCAAAGATTACTGGATTTGAGTCTAGGAATGAAAATCAACACTGGGATGCAGGTGAATTCAGCTAACTAGTCCGAAATGGGACGAAATGAGCATTTTGGATTCCACTGCTAGCCACATTCCATCTATTCTATATTGATTTCACAACCATTTATATATACATTTTTATTACATCATGTTAGAAATACTAAATACACTAAACCTCAATGTACAACTTCCCGGTTCAGTTGAATAAATTCATTTTATCCGTTTCACTAATCATAAAAATTTACCTGTTCCAATTTTAAAGTTGCTACAATAGCTTTTTGATTATGATTCCAACCAATTGTATGAATATTAGCTGTTCTACGGACAAGTGAATTGAACCCATCAGCACCAATCTACAATCGAAAACAAATAAAACCAAATATTATTTATAAATTAATCAAAACAAAACAATGCATAAAGTGTAGTGTAAAAGTAAATTGCAAACGTCACTCAACTGTTTTAGTAAAAGCAACAATTTATCTATAATGAATAAATTCACTATTTGAAACATCAAATAATTGTTTCTTTTGATTGTTGTTACATTTGCCATAAAACAACAATTATTTCCAAGCAATTACAATTTATAAAACAGATTACTTCAAGTAACAAATCTGTAATAAAGATTGTTTGATATTTTAAAATTCTGTGAGTCAATGAAAAAGGGAAACGTATAAGAGTGTCGACAAAGTTTATTTAAATACATAAGACATTTGGACTACAATGTATACATAAAGTTCAGGAAAGAGTATGTTAAAACAAATTAATAGTGACCGTTAGAACTTTGTTTAATTTAAGAAGTACTAGCAGATTAGAATAATTTAAGCGCATAAACTGAAATTGACAGTAAATTCTAACACAGTATCGTGTTTGTAGATAAAATAAATGAAGATACAAACTATGAGGTAGGGAAAGGTAAACTTGAGAATATACTATGTATATTTCGCATGCTGTGACTAAAGCATTCAAATTGATTTACCAGGATACCCTGTCGTTTTTTTTAAAATAAACTAGAAAAAGTTCTTAAAAACTAGATGAGAAATTTAATGTGGTAAATATATAATCCAGTAAACAGGACAATACAATATCCACATGCATACACACAGAAAAAGTATATCATATTAGAAGATATGACCACAATATGAATTGATTTCAAAGTACTGGATAAAAGAACATCACTGTCATACTGAACTTCATGATGAAAATATAGATTTCAACGATGTAGAGTGACATGCATAGAATATTGGAAGTTAAATGAAAACATATGAAACTCCGGAACCGCCTACAAATCAATACTATAAATTACCATGAAAATTATTGATAAACGGTAGAACTAGTCGGATGATAAAATAAATTTTGTAAAGTGGACTTCAAACATAGAACTTTTTATTTTAAATTCAGGTTCCTATAATAACGGAATGATTTCAAGATGTAGATTACTGCATGAAATTCAAATTACGAACCAAGGTTATGATTTATATTTTAGAAAGAGTTGTGTTTATGAACAATGAATCTTCTATTTGGCAGATTAGTGCTCATAACAAAATGTTGAACTCATTAGAAATCAAACATATAATTTGCAAGTGTTCAAGTTTGTATGGGCAATTACGCTAGGGGCGGCCAGATCAAAACATGGCACAAGTCCATGAAGTCACTGACAAGTGGACTGAGTCATGTTGGTAGGTGTAGACTACCTGGTTGGGGACCGCGAGATGATAGCAACCGATGGTTAGAGACCCTGAATGACATGGCTCAAAATCGTTTGCAATGGCGCAGGTGCATACACTCTTTGTGTTCTCCCAAATTTTGATCTCCTTATTTCTCCTTTTCTCTTTTTTCTCTTCCCAAATTTGTTTCACTGAATTATACTCTTTAAATAACATCTCCAAACCCAAATGTTTCTGATTACTGCTTATACCCTTACTACCTCTACCACTACGGGATTTGAATCGACCACTACATCTGTGTGCTAATGTGTTGTGGCAACTCGAACTGATGTACGTACGTACGAAGTTCTACGTTGTTACTGACTGACTGATTGATGGGCAATTACGTAACCATTTCCTGAACCATTCTACCGAAGGGATTTGATATTAAATTGAAGAAGTATGAACACTTTTAAATGTGAATTTATTGTGTCAATAGAAGTTGCATTTATTAAAGTCAACTACCAAAAACACTTAATATAAGAGAAAACATGAATTTATTTTACAATTATATTTCACAAATAATACTGATTTCTGGATTTGAACAAAACAATCTTCATCGACTGAGATGGTTGGGCCACGTGTTACGTATGCCCGAACACCGATTACCACGACGTGCAATGCTAACCGGTGTTCTGGATGGTTGGAAGAAAGTTAGGGGCGGCCAAACCAAAACGTGGCATCAGTGCTTGAAGTCACTAACTTCTAGTCTGAGCCATGTTTGTAGATGCAGACTATTTGGTTGGGGTCCGCGTGGTGACTATCGTAACCAATGGTTGGAGACTTGGTGACATGGCTCAGAATCGATCACAATAGCGTAGGTGTATACACTCTCTATCTTCCCTTAAACTATGAGATTAAAATCGCTTCATACCTTCCTTTCTACGAACTGATTCTTTCTTCCTGTGCTATGTCCTCATATGCAAACTTTCTTTTATATATTATCACCACTGAATTAACTACTTCTATGAATTCGGTGTTGATCTTGTTGTGCTAGTGAGGTATGGCAACTTGGACCGATGCACAAATGTGCCTGGTCCTACGTTGTAGCTGACTGACTGATTTAATTAAATAAATGATTACTTTTAGAATTCACTGATATCTATTTTAGACATGTATAATACAATAATGTTGATACCAGGTACGAATCCACATTGGTTAAAAGTGACGCATCAACTTATGCATAAGTCGAGTATTATTTTCTTGTTTAATAATATTATTCAAAAAAACCTTCAGATTTTACTTGAGTAGTCATTTAAGTATATAGTTATATTTTGAGCAGATTATAGGAGCCTCCGTTGGCTGGTCAACAAGTTGTCTTTTGGATGTCATATGGTTATTTGGCGTTTCTTACACTACACCAAACATCTGGATGGAGAGACTTCTAAAAAATATTCAAATTACTATCATACTGAACAGCAGTCCGCTGTAGCAAATTACATCTGGTAGACTTGGTCATTAAAAGCAGATGTATTTATTATACGAATTTGGTAACAAGTTTTCAAAGTACTCGCACGGAGTGAAACCAATAAGTGACCGACACCAAGGTTAGGTTCAGATAATCTAGGGAATGAAAATAAGTTGTGAATCCGCACCTACTGAAGTATCTTGGTAACGAGATAAAAGTACCAAATCACCATCTGAACTAACAATCAATACTAGTTAATACAGAATCACGCTGGAAAAGATTTTGAAGTATTCTTGTTGTTTATCTTCGAATGGTTAGATTTTTATAGTTAATAGGCACATTAGGAATATTTATTCTTGTTCCATAAGTATAATTAGGAATTAAAAGAGATTTATTTAGAGTACTAAATTTGATATTAATTTCATACATAAATAATACTGTTCCTCTAAAAAATCAATGAATAATCAACATACAAGTAGATCTGTTTCAACAGTTTCCCGTTTATCCTGTGTCCTCTGTTGAACGTCTATACGAACTAAATGTTCTGGATGATCTGAAGAAGGCAGCTGAATGTTTTCAGCTTGCGTTTCATATAGTATTGTCACATTTGAAGAATTATTATTAGATTCCAAATAATTACGAAGTGATTCAATAACTAAATCATTTTCTACTATATATGCCAAGGGATTGCGTTGAAACGTTAAGTAAAGGTTTGACTTTGTTTCCCATACCTAAACGTATGTACAAAATGAATACAGTAAAATAAGTATACGCTAATCAATCATCTAAAACGAGACAAACTTAATAATAAGAGCTGATAGATTATGTAAATTATGTGAATTTCGGTCTTTTATTATGGCAGACAATATAGCTCATGATAGAAATTGATGAAGTCACATAGATTCCGTATGTTAAGTCAAAACTGTTCAAATTATTCTAATAATATAAAGACATGATAAGAACAGAGTCTAATCATCTTTCTAAAAAACGGGGCTCATGAAATTTGGTCGTTTAGAAGATAAGGCCCAACAGTTTGAAATATTAAGTGTTTATTTCAAGTTTGTGTTTGGTAATTGGTGGTCCAGACACAGGATGAGCACCGCTAACAGAAGACATCATCAAATAATAAGGCCACTGAATGTCCGCCTAATCCATGTATATGCGTAGGGTACCTAGTTAAGGTCTGTAAAATAACTCCGATAGATTGTAAGAGAGTTTAGGGAGCATATCTCATATTTGGTATCATTGGAGTAGAGGGATTTCTCTTTGGATCTCCATGCAAAACTTGAATAAAGGAGTATCCTATAATTTGCATATCACTGATTCTATTAGCTCTTACAGATAGCATTCCTTATGTTTAGGTCTCTAGAGCTCTTGGAAGTCAGCCATGATTTACCTAACTTTACCGAATTATCATACTTTAATAAAACTTTTGTATATTTTTGTTAACTCATTTGCAAGATACATACTCGATTATTTAGCCTTGAGTCACACAATAATCGTTAGGACTAGTTGCCCAAACCCAAGCGCGTGGAGAGGCGTCTGAATCTACGTCTTGGTAGCTAACAGTCGAAAGCCCTAAGCACCAAGTCACACAATCACTTTTAATTGAACTGAAAGTATATGATCTCGAATCGATCAAATTTAGATTACCTAGTAGATCCAAACGAGATGAACATTTAAATAACACTCATGAGTTTTTTAGACCACTCTGTAGTAGACACATCGGATGACATTTAAATAGTCATCTGTTTCTTAATATTAAAATGAATTTTACCAAAGATGTTGGAGATGCTATAGGAGAAGAAAGCAATAGACAGAGGGAATCTATATTTATTGTGAGAAGTTATAAAGAATTTAAATAATACGTATACATGACCTTTGATCATCCGTTTTTATCTTTCAGTGAGTTCCGCAATTTGAACTGTTTCCTCGTCTGGTCTGCCTAAGCCGTGCTTTAGCTGTACTGAAAATCTCCACATCTGACGACTGTTTCGACGTCAAAGCCAAGTTCCGCTACATACAACTCACAAACAATTTTATGAGTAGAATCCACTACACTGTAACTACATATACCACGTGTGAAAAAGAAAATTTTGCTAATTTATTTAAAGCGATCCTCATTTAGACTTAAACACTCGAATGCTAAGTAAATCCATGAACCTACTTTTTTAAGCTCACAGTGTTGACCAGACGTTTGGCTTCAAATTCGTCTTTTTTGTGTGAAAAAACTGTACGTGACTGGTGTGGAAGATTCTGAATTTAGAATTTGATTCTTGTTATCACCACGAATATTTAGGAAGGTATTATTACTTAGTCACGGAGAGAATGATTTGAAGTGTGTATTTTATCGCTTATAAACCTCACTTAGTCTGATAAAATAAAACCGTTCAAGAGCCGAAACATATTATGGTAGAAAACTGTGATATTTCACATACTTTCATTTTATTTACAGGCTGAGAACGGAATGATTGAATAAATTCCCAAACACCAATATCTAAAAGGAGTACGATTACACGAATCCTGAAGCTTGTATAGAAAATGTACTTTTCAGCATGTTTACGGAAAGGTCGTTAAGAGCAACAACACGATTTTCATATTCTTCTTTACGTTGATACTTTTTTTTACCGGAACTTTCCAGCAATAGAATGCTTTTCTTACCGAGAAATTTGGAAGCCGCTATATTAAACAAATAAGATAAATAACGAAATGCCTTGATTTACCCGCAACGGCAGCCAAACCAAATCCAACCATCCCACCACCGACAATTATTACATCGTACTTCGGAAGCAGTTTCTTGACACTGTAACCACGGAAACTCGTAGTTAGGAATTTATGATAGTTGAGGAACGTCATTGGTTGAATAACTGGATAAGTAAAACATGATAAAAAATAATTAGTTATGACAAAAGTCAGTGAACTGAGATAACAGGAAAACAACAAATCAGACAAAAGTCAAAAATTCTCTCTTTCTTGAATAATTTTGGTTATTAGAAATAGAAATCGAGCAAATGGAGTGTGGTAAATTGATAGAGGAGAGTTCTATATGAATGTATTCATTACCTTTTAAATTCCCAAACTGCTATATGAATTAATAATAAGATCAGTGGACGAAAAATATTTTGGGAAGTTTACATCTGACTGATGATTAACAAGCGATCAATGTCAGAGAAAAATTAGTTTAGGCTGATTAATAACTTTTCCCGTCATAGCTTAAATACTCGGGCTCTACGGTTAAATTCCATCATACTTATACTAATAGATAATGGCAAGTCATTTATTTAGTTCACATTCAATTTTCAGAACTTTGTTAGGACCTATAAATGCCAACTAGAGAAAAGTAACGGTTATTGTACGAAATAAAAAGTCGATGAATGAAGAATGATTTTTTTTAGTATTCATAACCGTAAAAAAGCAATTCGAGGATGTTCCCGTACCTAGACAAATTCGTTCTACCGTGATTTCAACAACAAAGTATAAAGTCAGTTAATAGAGCCATTGACTGTGAGTCTGACGCGCGTAGAGGGGTATAAGGCTTTAATGTCCTGTGGGTTCATTGGAGCTGGTCGATTCGAGAGTTCCTCAAAGTATTCTACCCATCTGTTCTTTTGTTCTGGAATCTCCGTGCTTGTTTTTCCTCCTTTGTCCTTGACCGGTCTCTGGCTTACTACACTTCCCTGCCATTTTCTTCGTTGTGTCATGTACTTGCTTCATATTTTGCTTCTCTTGCAGCTTTTCCCGCTGTCATTGCACAGATTTCCGTTTGTCAACTCTAATACTATTCTTCACTTGCTTGTTTGCTTTTGTGTACTCAGCTTGTGTCTTGAATTTCTCTGCTTTTGTCTGACTGCTGTTAATCGCTGTCTCCTTGTCCTTCTTTTCTACAATCTTTCCCAGGATTTCGATGGTCCATTTCTAATGGTGCTTCATCGTGACCCAGAACCTCCTGACACGTTGAAGTTAGTGCTTCTCTGACCCCTTTCCAGTAATTCTTAACTCTAAAACCTAATTCTTAATTTACAACCCAGACTCCTAATCTTAAACCTCTTCAATTTACTGTAAGAATACATAAAAGAAAAGTTTCGTTATTCGTCACAAAACTTATCCCTTGTAATTATATTTTTTTAAGATAGTAAATTAACTCATATCAAAAAACTATTCCGATCAGCTGATATGTCACTCAAGGGCATATAAAATTCCTTAGGTCATTCATATGGTTTACTTCTATCAGCTTATTCTGGCTATGGTGATTTGAAAGGTGGGATTCCAAAACTATTAAGACTATAAGACCTACTTTGTTCATGCTTAGCTTTCAAAAAACAATGAATAATCTAAATAATCTACCAGATAAGTGGGAATATAGTGAACTCAAAATTTAATCTATTTTGGGATAAGTTAGGTGAGAATACTGTGACAAATAAAATGACGACACGAAGACTATTTGTAATCAGATTTTAAGTTATGAGGCCTAAAAAACTCCATCACACAATTATGTAAAATTACCATGAGTTTTAATTTGTTTTGCTTGATTTTCAAGTATTTTGATATAAGTGAGTGTTATTTGACTAAATACAACGTACGATATACCAACCACCAGCATTTAACAAAGACAGTGATAAAAGCGAAAAGGGCGTGGCTATCTAGGGAATATGATTACTTTACACTCGCGGTCAAATAATTTAACCAGTTTCAATCTACCGTCGAAAGTGAAGTATTGCTTTGTTGTCAGGTGTCTGATGATAATCTTAAATAAATAAATGACACAGTCAACAATCTCGAGTAAAAAACGAGTATTTCGGACCAAATATCCGAAATTCGGGGCTAGATGTTGCTTGTTTTTCTGGGCCCTGCTTTGACTACTCGGAATTTTACATAACGTTTAGGGCTGTGTATGTGCTAGCAAGATAAGATAGACACACTATTCCATACTTCAAGGATTTTCGAACGGAAACAAAGCATACTTGATGGACGAAAAATTTACATTAAAGTAATCACAAATAGTGCAGAAAATGTGTTTAACAAGAAACATAACGTAACAGCTTCGCGTAGTGTACTGTGATGAAATTTAAAGTATTGAACGTTTATGCTGTATGCACCATGAGTGATTAAGAATATTGAATTATTGATTAAGTTGTTGATTTGCTTATGAGGGGTGTTCGGATTTAAACATCGTTTGTTCAAGTATAATTTCTGATCACGTGTCAGACTCTTATTATGACAAACCTGCACTGTTGGTTTATCGACGTCTGAGTAAAGGGATACGTACGAGTAGAGGTTATCAAATTACTCTCGAAGTTAGAAACGCAAAACGTAAAACAAACCAACGATCAATACTGCCTATAAGAATCGAGTTTCATTAAATCAACGGGAATCATCCTTCATTATTTGTAATGAACAGTCATTCGATATTAACCCAATCTCCCGATTTTGTGATTTCCAAAAGGCCAATGACAATAGGCAGTTTCCCCATAAGTGTGAGGAAAACCACAAAATTCTGCAGAAGTGTTGGGGATTTCCCCAAAACTTTCGGGAATTTCCCAAAATAGGGAGATATTTCCCCATTGGGAAACACCTACTTATTGAGAAGTCAAGGTACTATTAAATAGGAATGAACTTTGTGGGAAAAAGTCTACATGTATGTGCAAACTTTCATGTGTTTGTGCAGAAAATTTCATACTGAAATAAACAAATATAATTGAATAAAGCCATTAATAAAATCAAAGAGCTATAGGTTGTCAATATTAAGGGCAATAACAATGCCTAGCGAAGTATAAAAAGATTCCTATAAATTGAGTTACTTGGAAATATAATATTCTACATGTCTACAACTAGAATAATGTAGCTGAATACTGAAAATGATTTAACCTTCAAGTATCGATGCAATCCAATCATCCCGCCGCTAAAGGTGTGAAGGGTAAATGGGACTGTTTAGAATAGAAGAAGCTTTTGCTTGACGGGCTATCGTATCCATCAGCAGTGAGTCACACATGCCCCCATGTAGTGATCTAAGTATATTAACGATAAAAGAGGAAAAGGAAAAAACTTGGTATATCATAGTAAGATACTGTTCTTGTACTTAAGAATATGTCGAGCTTTCTCTCAAACAACTCTTTGCAAGTCGATTGAACTAGCTCAGATGGCAGTGATTTACAGCATTTGACCTCTCTTAAGGAGTAGCATGTATGACTACAGTCCATCATTCTGTGTTGAGTCTCCAGATTCTGGGTGTTACCCCTGAGGTTTTTGATGGGACTAAGTTTAAGTAGTTAATTAATGGGATGCACAGAGTATTAAGGATGCCACAAGTAATAGGGATGTCTCCTCTTAAACTCCCTTACTTCATTGGATAAAAGTTTTTGATTGGAGGCGCTCTTCATAAAACTTGAATTTCAGTCCCCAAACTGATTTCATGTTTCGCTGTTGGATACGTTCCAGATTGTTCATATCATTTTGAGGTGTGTGAAGAAATACGGTGTTTTCATACTTTTAATGGAGTCGAATAAGTCTGTTGAAGATTATGCGGAAAGTTATTTGGTCGGGCTGGCCGAAAATGTGCTCCAACTTTAACAACTCAATATTTTTTCCGAAGACACTTTTGTCGCAGTCAGTGTAAGGCTTCAGATCGTATGGTACCAAATTCCCTAGATCTTTTTCAACAGTGGGTGCCTTTAGAGGGGAGCTAAGTTTTATTTGTAGCCTGTAACATGTCTCAGATGGAGTATTCTACATTTCGAAGTATTAAATTTAATGTCATTGTCATCTGCACAACTTTAAAAAAATTTCGGATCACAAGTAGTTGTGTAAACTGTCGCATTCTTGGACTACATGAATTTTTTCGACACAAAAAATACTCATACATAGGAGGGTACTATTTTTCATTATTTAAGATCAAATAAATACAGCCATTCCCAGAGTGTGGATTGTCACTATCATATAAAGTTATTATGCGAGATGCTGCTACATTTGATATATTGGGTTCAAATCTGTTCTCTTTGTGTACTAGAATGAACTCACATCAATGCCCGAAATAGAATGACATAATTGCTTTCTCAACAAAGTTCAGTAGAACATCTTAGATTTGATAAATACATGTTGTTAAAGCTAAAGGGTTGTGTTTTATCTGACAGATTCCTATTTCTGAAACATTTCGACTGCGAACAACCAAAAATAAAATCATCACTCATCAGCTTACTGGATTCCAAAGCGACTTTAATAAAGATTACGTTTCAGTACACCATTTTCGCTTACGCCGTTATGAACGAACTTCAATGATTGCGGAGCAGATCACAAGGACCATATTTCTGTAACACTGACTATTGATACCTGACTCTTGGAACTCGCTAGGTGGTATTAATAACATTAGTCTGATTTGAAGAAAAAAGGGGCTCAATTTGGTATGAAGGTAATCAGTAATGTCATCTACATCACCTCCAAATATACATTTATTTAATTTTGGTTGCAGAGCATTTAGTCGAATGGTCACCTGAGGTCCTCTAGGTTCACAAACGTATAAGTGTTCTAAGCGCTTTCTACAGGATTTCGATCGTCGTGAAACGCTCTCTAATCGATAATACTAACGCTGAAGTGCTTTGCTGGCCAGAAAGCATGCATCTTGAACTTCACTATGTAAATAAATTGCTTTTAGTTACTGAGAAACAACATTTGATTATCGGAATATGGTTTGAAAAAAGGCCCACAATTTTGCCATGGATAGAATGAAAAGTAAATGTATTGGCACAGTTCCGCATGGCCATTAATTTTTAGAGATCATAATACAATTTTTATCCATTCGATACAACTGTTGTGTGTAATCAACTGAGTTTTGTAGCTGTGGTTGATTGATTTACATCAAACTTAGTCGACCGCTATTAGTATTCAAGAGCAACTCAATTTTTTCCAGTTCATTTTTGATTTCATTGACTGACAGAAAGTTTGCTCAAGCTGCATCTTAAACCAGGCTTCATTGAACAACGACGACAAAAGTAATATGTCCAGAAAAACTCATCTCATTTTTTCTGATTATACCAGTCTCGATTCCATCCAGGAAAATATTATTTTGGTATTTAAGATCAGCAGTGCATGTCATCTGTGTCAAAGATTGCTATCTACTCGAGTTGGACTGCGATGATTTGACATCGTAATTTAGAATGGAGTGAAATCTCGTGGTTCATGTTAAACACACATGATAAACACATGTTAAACTCCGCCTGTAGCTCTTATAGGGTTGCTGCCGGTCCCAAGCCCGGGTAAAGGAGGAGGGTCGGGCATGGGGTTAGCGTCCCCATCCCTTAGAAAACTAACTCGCCAAAAAAGCGCTTACCAGAAAAATAATCAAAACCATTTTAACTCTGCCCTGGAAGTTAGGTCTTGATTTAGAAGAATTATGACGCTTCATGGTGAACGCCGAGTTCCTTCGGAAGCCACGAGGCCGATGCCCCTTCTAACAACCAGAGCAAAAATTTTTATAGGTACATGGAACGTCCGAACAATGTGGGAAACCGGGAAGACCAGTCAAATATCAATGGAAATAAGGAGATACAACTTAGCAGTACTGGGAATCAGCGAAACCCACTAGACCCAAGCTGGACAGAAAAGGCTAGCTACGGGAGAGATGCTGCTATACTCCGGTCACGAAGAGGACAATGCTCCACACACTCAGGGAGTCGCTCTTATGCTGTCCAAAGTAGCACGAAATGCACTTGTAGGATGGGAATCTCACGGATCCAGAATCATCAAAGCATCATTCAAAACAAAGAAGGAGGGGATCTTAATGAATATTATCCAATGTTATGCACCCACCAATGATAGCAACGAAAACATTAAAGATCAATTCTACAATAGGCTGCAGTCAATCATAGAGAAATGCCCAAGAAAGGACCTCACCATTCTAATGGGAGATCTAAATGCCAAAGTCGGAATAGACAACATCGGATATGAAGATATTGTGGGACGACATGGACTGGGAGAAAGAAACGAAAATGGAGAAAGATTTGCAAATCTATGTGCATTCAACAAATTGGTCATAGGAGGCACAATATTTCCACACAAGCGTATACACAAGGCTACATGGATCTCACCGGACCACACTACAGAGAACCAAATAGATCATATTTGCATCAACAAAAAATTCCGAAGGACAATGGAAGATGTGAGAACCAGGAGAGGAGCTGACGTAGCTTCAGATCACCACCTAGTTGTAGCCAATTTGAAACTGAAGCTAAAAAAGAACCGAACAAGTGGACAAACAGCAATACAAAGGTTCAATACAGCCTTCCTTCGAGATACTGTCAAACTCAATGAATTCAAGATAGCTCTCAAAAACAGGTTCCAAGCCTTACAAGATCTACTGAAAGAAGGAGAAACTACTATGGAGGACAACTGGAAAAGCATCAAAGAAGCATTAACTTCAACGTGTCAAGAGGTTCTCGGTCTAAAGAAATACCATCATAAGGAATGGATCTCTACAGAAACACTGGACAAGATCAAAGAAAGGAAGAACAAGAAGGCAGCAATAAACAACAGCCGAACACGAGCAGAGAAAGTCCAAGCACAAGCTGAATACATAGAAGCAAACAAACAAGTGAAGAGGAGCATTAGAGCCGACAAGAAGAAATACGTGGAAGAACTAGCAACGACGGCAGAAAAAGCTGCTAGAGAAGGAAATATGAAACAACTTCACGATACAACGAAGAAACTAGCATGGAAATACAGTAAACCAGAAAGGCCGGTCAAAGACAAAGAAGGCAAGCCAATCACCGAAATTCAACAACAGCGTAACAGATGGGTAGAATACTTCGAGGAACTCCTGAATAGGCCGGCTCCAATGAATCCACCGGACATCGAAGCAGCACACATAGATCTTCCTATAGAAGTCAATCCACCAACTACGGAAGAAATTAGAATGGCCGTCAGACAAATCAAGAACGGGAAAGCAGCAGGACCCGACAACATACCAGCTGAAGCACTGAAATCAGATATCGAAGCAACCACAAGCATGCTTTACCTTCTATTCAAAAAGATTTGGGAGGAGGAACAAGTGCCGATGGACTGGAAAGAAGGACACCTCGTCAAGATTCCAAAGAAAGGAGATCTGAGCAAATGGGAAAACTATAGAGGCATAACACTACTGTCAATACCAGGGAAAGTCTTCAACAGATTGTTGCTGAACCGGATGAAGGATGCAGTAGACGCCCAACTTCGAGATCAACAAGCTGGATTCCGTAAGGATCGGTCGTGCACAGACCAAATTGCAACACTACAGATCATCGTCGAACAATCAGTTGAGTGGAGCTCATCACTATACATCAAATTCATTGATTATGAAAAGGCATTCGACAGTGTAGATAGGAGGACGTTATGGAAACTTCTTCGACACTACGGAGTTCCTGAGAAGATTGTCAATATTATCCGGAACTCATACGACAGACTACAGTGCAAAGTAGTGCATGAAGGACAGCTGACAGATGCATTCCAAGTAAGGACCGGAGTCAGACAAGGCTGTTTACTCTCTCCCTTCCTCTTTCTTCTGGTGGTGGACTGGATTATGAAGACCTCAACATCTGAAAGAAAACACGGAATACAATGGACAGCTCAGAACCAATTAGACGATTTGGACTTCGCAGATGACCGAGCCCTCCTATCACGTACACATGAACAGATGCAGATGAAGACAGCCAGTGTAGCAGCAGTCTCTGCATCAGTAGGCCTCAAAATACACAAAGGGAAAACTAAGGTCCCCAAATTCAAGGCGGATAACAGCAATCCAATCACTCTTGATGGCGAAACTCTGGAAGATGTAGAGTCCTTCACATACCTGGGAAGCATCATCGATGAACAAGGAGGATCCGATGCAGACGTAAAGGCGAGGATCAGCAAAGCAAGGGTTGCATTCCTACAATT